TATTTCTCGGTAAAGAATTCTTGCAAGCATCAATTTTGAATAAATTAGCTATAATATTTACTGATTTACCGAAGATTTTGTATTTCTCTAAATTACCGTTATATGGGATGTGGTCGTGGTTATTGTCCGATTTTAAAAATTTTCGGCCATTTGGTATACTGTACCAAAACTGTGCCAAGTTTGGAAGAAATTGGTGCAGCGGTTTCCAAGATATATCCATAAGTGGGCGTGGCTACGCCCATTTTCCAAAAATGTATAACATTCTTAAATTTATTGTAAATATCAATTTTGAGTGAATAATCTTCAGTAGTTACTAAAATATCGCAGTTTTCGTATTTCTGAAAATTACCGTTATATGGGAAGTGGGCGTGGTTACAGTCCGATTTTGCCCATTTTCAACACCAACCTACCTTGGATAAATGGAAACCTATGTACCAAATTTCGTTGAGATATCTCAATTTTTGCTCGAGTTATCGTGTACACGGACGGACGGACAGAAGGACGGACATGGCTTAGTCGACTTCTCTATTCATTCTGAGCATTTATGTTTACATTTGTCTATATCTATCTCGATTCGTTTTGGCTGTTACAAACAACCGGTATGTGAACAAAGTTAATATACCCTTGTGCACAAGTGCTCTCGGGTATAAAAAGAAGCAGTATGTGCATATGTATGTATGAAAACTTTAGAACCGACTTCCAAAAAAGGAGGTTAATATCTACATGAAGAAATTAACGGTATTCTTAAATTTTTGTATGAGAATTGAAGTCGGTTTTGTTTTTTGTTTAAAAATTACTTGTTTTATACTTCATACATAATCACTCTTACTAAGCTGAAGATAAATAATAAGAAATCGATACGTTTAGTGCCAGTGAAATTCGTACGCTTAGGTTACTTTACGCAGTGTGGCTAAAGAATTTTTTAATATTTACTCAAAAGTGATATTTACATACGTATAATAACTTTTTAGCAACATATTGGTTGAATGTAACATTTTTCGAAAATAGGCATGGTAACCGAGTACTCATATCACTATTCTGTACCAAATTTGGCATACACATTGTGCGCGTTTGGCCTCTCTTAAGTTTTTTTTTTTTTTTTTAATAAAAAAATAAAAAGATAAATAATCAAGCTATTAATAATATGCTACATCCAGTACGAAATTAACGGTTTTATAAAAGAAATAAATTGAGGGATTACATGAATTAATACTTTTATGTTGCATTTGACCCTACTTACAACTACAAATGTTGTGTTTCGGGTATATTCCGAGTTTTTTTGCAGCGCAATGTAATTCGATCTCAAAAATCGCAAATGCAATTTTTTTAAAGCTTCTAAACAAAAAAAAAATAGGAGTAGAGTATTTCGTCAAACATAGAAAATTAGTAAGAATGAGTACTTACCATCCTATAGTGGGATTTAACTTTTGGAGACGATTCTGATCCAGTTTTAAAATAGTCAGTCTACTTAATTTGGCAATCCCATCGGGCAGGGATTCAAGTAAGTTTTGTGCTAGATCCAAGTCAGTTAAATTTATCAGGCCACCGATTTCATTTGGTAGCTTTTCGAGTCTGCAAGAAAGGTAGAAAGAGCAAATTATGTTGAATAAAGGACTTCAAACTGAAACAGGTACTTCAAATTGAGATAAACTACAAACGTAAATTGAAGGATACTTACCGATTTTCGGAAACATCGAGATATGTTAAGTTAGTTAGTAATCCAATTTCAGGTGGCAGCCTTTCTAACTGGTTGTGATCTAGCCAGAGCTCATGTAAGCCGGGTAAGTAGCCCAAGTACGGTGGCAGTTCTTCTATTTCATTGTCGCCCAAGTCTAATCTTTTGAGCTTGGTGAGTTGGCGGATCGATTCAGGCAAATGTTTTAATAAATTCTCACGCAACTCCAAGGATTCTAATTGTGTTAAGCTAGAATCGAAATAATCGCATGTTAATTTAATTCTTCAATTAGTTTTAGCTTGCCGTCGGGCAGCAACCGTGGTTAATGATCGTCAGAAATTTTTTAATAAAAACGTATGCATGTATGTATGGATATGTTTTTAAAATATATTGTGGGAAATGTGATGGAAAAAGTTATTGAAACAGGATTCCTTTAATTTCCATTGTGCACCTTGAACATTTTTATAAAATAAAATAAAGTTGACCGTATTTTAAATATGTGTCTTTACACACAATTAAAAGTATTCGCGAATCTTTTGTTAAACCATAGATTTTTAATGATAAACATTAGGGCCAATAACATTTTAACTTACCATCCAAAATCAACTGGCAATGTGGTAAGTGACATATCATTTAAACCTAAAACTGTTAAATTTTTTAGTTGAGAAAATCCTGCAGGTAGTTTTGGAATCGGATTTGAGCTGAAATCAGCAACCTGAAGGCTTTGCAGGTGTTTGATGTCATCAGGAATGTCTGGAATATCTGCAAGAAAAGTTATATATAGTAAGTAATTTTTTCTATATATTTATGTACATTTATACATATGTACATATGTATATGCAATTTCGGTAATATTTATATTCTTTTTCAAATTAAACTTTTAGAATTGATACGTTGTTTGGTTAAAATATGTTAGCATAAGTAGTATTTATCTTATGTATTTTAGTGAGCATCTCATCTTATTTTGGCCTAAAACTCCCCCTAGAACAGTTCGTTAGATCATAAAAACATACTCTGCATAAAATCGGATAACTAATCGGATAATTAATGATTTTTTTCACATACAATGTGCTTTTGCCAGCTGAATCTAAAGACGGACAAAGAATTGTATATCTCTTTAAATTAAAAAACAAAAAATAAATTAATTAACTTTAAATTAACTAATTTTACAAAAAAAAAAAATTTAAGAGATGTGAAAATGCTATGGCCATATTTAAGATCCGCCCGCACAAATGCATTGAGTATCATTAATTTTTAAAATAAGCTCTTTTACTGATTTCTATCTTTTCCAATTTATGTTATTTGCAAACTTTTCGCACATCGGAGGAACGTCTTTCCCTTATCACATTTTGAGCGCATTATTTCATTGTAGCTTATATAAATTATACTAGATTTATATGAGCAAGCAGGTCATTTAGTTATCGTGGCCGAGGCGATGTGTAGTAATAGATCTCTTTTGGTTACAGGTTGTCTTTAATCCACTTATGGTTAAGGAACGTCGGGTGGCTGAATGTCAATTAAGTCATGTGCTTCTAGATTGGTTAAATGTGGCTTCCGGGGTTTTGGTCGTTCATTGCCCCTACTCATTATGTTAGGGAAAATTTATTCCAAGATTTGACCCAAACAAACATACTTACATCAGGGAAGTTGCGAATATTAGCATTCGCATTCGTTATGCGAATGAATGGCATCATTTTACACATTCGCATTCGCATCAACTGCTACTAATGTTTTGCGAATGCGGATGTGTACATGGGCAGAGAGTCCACTCTAATATTGTTGAAATGGCTCTAAATCTGTCTAACCAGAGTGCGGACAATAACCGGCTTTTAGCTGCAGACGCTAAACGGTTAAGTAGTATATCAAGCAACACTGATGGGCCTTTAACAAGTACAAGAGTGCCAGCCACTGTCGAAATTCGACCGTTCTTCTAGTTTTGTAAGACCTTTGGAGAGGTTTTCTAACTTAGTCCTTCGTTTAACTTGTAATGTACAAAATTACTTGCCGGAAAATCTCTTGCTTTCGAACTAAACCTTAACTTACATTTTTTTTATCTTTGAAGGTCGTTGGTCGTTGAAGGTGGTTGACTTGGAATATAACCGACACATTCTATTTTGCCGATAAATTTCGATAACTAAAATCCCTAAACACAACAATAAGTATCGATAACTTGATAAATTTCATTAACTTGACAAATTTCGCTAACACATACATTTTTATAGCTTGATATCTATCCGCAAATTTCGAGAACTAATTTTCTGTGTCTATGAATTTCGACAACTCAATTAACATTGGTCAATTTCAATAATTTTATACGTTGTTATAACTCAATAAATATGTATCACTCCATAAATTTCGATAACTATAAACTTCGATGACTCGATAAATTTCAGTAACTTGATAATTTTCGATAACTAAATTTTTTATAGCAAAATTTATTTCAAATCCTATCGAAAAGTATGTGCACCTGGGCTACATTGAAGAAGTGGAACTTCTTCTTCTTTCTTCTTGTTTTTTGGCGCTGTAACCGCCTAAGCGATTTTGGCCGAGTTCAGCAAAGCACGCCAGTCGTTTCTCCTCTGT